AGACGTTCAGATTTTCAAATATGCGATTAAAGTGTACAAGTTTGTGGAGATGACAATGGTCGGAGTAGAAAGCGAATAATAAGTGAACGGAAAATAGAACTGATAAGGTTTTAGTGATAGCATATATTGAAATGTTGCAAAAATATTAAGGTAACGTGAAATAACACTTCAGTAAATAGAGGATGTTTTTTGAACCTACTGAAATGATTCTTATCACCAACTGGTTTTTCACAGAAAAGTTGGAAATTTTGATGCTGTTTTCAGAGGAACGATCTTCTATCATACAGCCAAGAGCGTAATTCGTTATCAAAACGTAATCGTCAATTTTGTGTAATATTCAAGCAATGGGAACACTTAGTATCCAACCACCAATGGGTTCAGTACGCAATCTTACCGAAGTATTCATTCTTCTTCGAAATAATGCTCTGCATAGCAAGTTCATCTTTGCTAATAATACTATAGGTGCGGCTGGTTGGTTTTATTCTTATTTCCAATAAACCTTGGTTTAAGCTTGTACCTTAACATTTTGTAGAATAGCAGAAGAAAAGGTAACTAAATTCAGGTATTGGTTTTTTTTTGCTACCGAAGGCAGCTGATTTGACAAACACTGTAATTTGAAAAATATGACTCGCATTTCGATTGGTCCAGATGGATGCACGACGAGTGAACATAACTGTGAATTGTTTGCTTGTCTCTCTGCATCTTATCACCATGTGAGCTTAAAAAAGTTTGACTTAACACTCACTGAACACTGGAAGAGCCAGATCATTTGGAAGATTTTTCGCTGAACGAAGGATTTCATCGATATAAATGATCATAATAAAAACCTCAAAAAGATAAGATGCTAAAAAATATGCATTTAAGAATTGTATTTTGTGTTTAAAGCTATTTACCGGTCCAACAAAAACAATATGTGGTGTGACCTGCATCTCCCCTAAGTAAACTATGCTAATTTGAAGTACTTCTATAATGTGTTTAAAAATTCTGTCTTATAGACAAATTACTTAGGAATACTTCAGACGAGAAAATGTCGTTGGTTGCTTTGGATGAAGAAACCGAAACAGTTCATGTCTCGAGTTCCAGCCGTGTACCACCCGAGTGGGTCAATTACCTTGACGAAACACAATATGAACTTACGAGGTGAACGAATAGCTCAGCATTTACCCAAGGGAAGCAATAAATTTGAAAGAAGAATATCTAAAATCAATTTTCTATTAAAATTAAAACATATGAAAATTGGGCTTTATTTGTGCATGAATCATCGCAGTGTCATCGGGCTTTTCGTAAAGGCAACAGGGGCACTGAAATAAGTAACAGATAAAAATATTACTATAAGGAAATTATTAGACTGAGCAAACACTGATAATTATATGAACGAAAAATAAATAAATAAATAAATTGGAAAAAAATTCGATTTAATTTCTTTACTTTTAATATATTCCAATCCACAGCTGGCATTACTTGTTGAGAATGAAACATTTTTCGATTACCTGACATAAAATGAATCGGACAGTGAAAGTATTAGTATTTTTGTGAAATATTGGTTATTTTTGGTAGTACTGCTTCTAGATTGTATCAAATTTTTTTGAAAACGAATCCGTTTGAAACAAATTCGAAAAAAATTTTTTCTCTTATTCGTTGCAGGATACGATCACGTTTGAAACAAATTCGAGAAATGCAGCAGAATCACATGTCGAAACCAAGTTTTGTGGAAGATTTGGAGGCTCAAAAAGAAATGGACAAAAGTACAGATGAAGTCACGGGAATGTTTTCTCATTGCCAACGCTTGATCGGGTTTCTTCCCGTTTGATTTTTATCAGATTCAAAAATTTCTATGCTTATGTGCTTTAAAATTTTGGCGCTATCACGACGATCTCAATCGTTCGAGTTACGTCTTATTCTGAATACTACCTAATATATGCTATGCTTATTTTATAACTTTATGACCATTTATAGTTATCAGGTGATAATTAGATTTTCAACACTATAATTTGAGAGATGTAGTTAATCAGTTTGTAGCACAGCATATTCTTGACTTTGTTGTAACTTTTGGGACATATATCCTACGTTGTGATTTTTCCAATAGTTATCCAATAGTTTTTTCAGTGAAGTATCTGGGTGCACTTTTGCGTTGATGTTGGTTTTCAAGGCCATTTTTTTAGATTTATTGAGAAAGCCAATGTCATCGAAAGCACACAACAGTCTTTGCTACGTGGAAATGTAGTTTCAACATTGCGATTGACATTAAGCAATTTAGCTGGAGACTTTCGTACCAGTCAGGCAAAATTTTTAAAACAAATCGAAGCACGTAAAGAAAAGGTAAATTCATATCTTCTCGCATCCACTGACTGGGTGAATACCGAAGTCCTTGACGATGTGCCAATCGATGCATCACGAGATGGTAAGTTTATTCTTTAGCAGTTGGGGATGGATTTGAGTGTTGTAACATAGTTTTCTGCCACTGTAATTATGAGATACAAGGTGATAAGCCCTTTGTTCTAACTTGTTAGACTTCTTATAAGTCGAATCTCAGGGCATCACAGTTAACTTGATCTTTTTTGCTGCTGATAGTGGCACTTTGCTATTTTATTAACTAAATTTCATTATCAGTTAGAACGAATTTAAGTTATTGAATTTCCTTGTAAAAATATAATTGGTATGACATAATTTCAATCCTTTTTTGTGTAGTTTATTTTTTTTATAAGTAAATTATACATTTTATAATTTAGTTATATATTCTGTTGTAATTCTTGCTCTAAACCTAGTCCAATGATATTGTGTATTATATTCTTGTGTAAGAAACTTGAGAATTTTGTTATGCAACAGAAATTCTAGGCCTTACTATGGAACAAATACAGTTGTTGCTGCAAAATGCTGATATGGTAAAAGAACGTGAACGTGACGTGATGAGTGTCAGTAAATCAATTATCGAATTAAATTCTTTATTCAAGGATCTTGCTTCTATGGTTGTTGATCAGGTATTTGAAATAAGCTGAAGTGATTGTTGTATTAGAAACTATTTGTGGTGCATGAAATATATAGTCTTTAGTAGTACAACATCTATATTTTCTGAGTGTTACCGGAGCAGATGTTGCAGATTTCAGATGCTCTTTCTTATCCACAATAAAATATTAGTTTCTTTAAAAAAGTTGCAGAGGTCAAATTTCGAATAATTTGATAGTCGAGAAACACCTCTGTTTTGAATTTTTTCAGCTACCCTATTGAACTTTTGTAGCTGATTATAACGCTTATGCAAATTTAAATATACGGAGGTTCTGATATTCTTTTGTCAATGTCAGGGTACGGTTTTGGATCGAATTGATTATAACGTGGAGCAGGCAGCACTGAAAGTCAACTCAGCCTTATCAAGTGTCCAACGTGCTGAAAGATATCAACGAAGTGATAAAAAAATGTACTGCATACTTGTTTTGTCTGTAGCAGTTATTGTTTTACTTATTCTTCTTATTATTGTGAAAACATGATATGGCAATTTTCTTATATCTAAAATTCCCTGTAAAATGTCTAAACTATTTCTCTATATTGTTGCAATTTTAGTATATATTCATCGGAATGAACGTTGGAACTTCTAAACTATCCCTCTTCGAAAGAATATACTGAGTGAGAGGGGAGAGAGTGTTGAAAAGAGCTGCTGTTACTTGTCACAGTTTGTAGCGATTCTTGTCTAATGCCCTTGCTGTGATTATAGCTTGAGGTGAAGTAAATAAGGTTTCAGTGTCCCTTTATATCAGATTGCTAAGATTTGGGGAAGTTTTTTAATTAGCTTTCATTATCAGAAATTTCGCACGTTTGCTTTTTAATTTTCTGTTAATAATGGTTTTCGAGATCATTGTGAACCACCTCTGTATTTAAATGTCTTCCTTTGTATATTTCCCTTTTTCAGGTTTGCTTCAAACATTCCTGATTGGTGCAGATATTTTTGCTTTCTACTTAAATTTCTGTTATTGTTTCATACTGATGTTTAAGCTATCCTGCTTCCAGGAAGATGATGATAAGCAACTCTTTAATTATGTATTTTTAGCCTCTTCACAGGTCATTTTCATTTTGTTGTGCTGGTTCGACCTTTCTAATTGTGCATTTTAATACGAGCATATTTCTTCATTACCTTGTACCTGTTATGCAATGGGAACTGTTTTAAAGGCTTGGTTTTCCGCTACTGTAAGTTAGGATGATTGTAACGCCATTAAATGCGCGGGTTATTTTGAAATGATGTGATTTGAAAGAAGGGAAAATACTTGATGCTTATCGCTAAATGTTGTGCAATAGTACTGTTATTCTCGTCTTGTTAGTCATTTGTGAAAATGTTACAAATTGATAAATTGTGCTACTTACACAACTGATCCTTTGTCAGATATTCTAATAATCTTAGTAGTATAAAAGCGGGCTGGAACGGATTTGAATATGGTTGATTAATGATTGATCTATTTTTCCAATTGAAGCCAGATAATTGGCAATATTGATTAGTAGGATCAGTGGACTGATGAATGAACAAGTTCGACACCCGGTATGATCAATTTATTCAGGTAGATTTTTTAACTTCAGTATTTACTTATTTAGGTCAGTGTAGAAATGTTGGCAGTTATTATGTGTCCTGAAATACCTCAATAATATTAAGCAAGTTAACGCGTGATATATGCTTATATGCTATCTAGAGTATTCCCGAGATGCTGCATTTGTACAAGATCGGAGTTGATCGTACTCGAGTTCCATTGTCACTTAATCATACAAATACAGATTCCTTGAAATTGTGACACTTTCAAGTAGGATGAGTAATAAAGGTAGGAAATTTGAATATTATCTTAATTATATTGTTAAAAGGGATTGATGGAGAGAATTTTCCATTCATTTTATACTTATACATTCATGTTATTGGCTCGGTTCTTTCTAATTGGCTTGTGCCAAGTAGTAGATAGTCGACTTGGTCTACTTGGTGTGTTGTATTAGAGTGTTTGCAAAATTTATTTTTGGACTGAAGAAAAAAAACATTTTATTGAAAATTGAAAAATTGGAATTTATGTTTATATTTATGCTAAGCAATTAATGAATATCTTGAAATTTTGATCTAAAAAAATTTGATTAATTCAGGTGCTTCATTATATATGGAATGTACACATCATTTACGATGTTCAGAAGCAGATCGTATTCGTTGGTTCGAATTACGCGGTCATGTTCATAATTTGGTCGACTTAGGTAATGTAGCACGAGAAGATGGCTACATTATTGAGTTCGTTCTGATTAATAATTTCTCCTTTTGTCAAAGAAGCAAACAGAAATAAATTATCGGAAGTGAAATTGAAGCAAATAGAAATGAAATCAAATTAAAATTAATAATTTACGATGATGATCATATTTGGTTGATTTTTTAGGAAAACGAAACTTCGTCATTCATTACAATATCGTGATTATCTGTGCGCTGAGCATCGAATTAGCGGCTATTTGCTTCATAATGATAGCAGTTATCATTTGCAAGTTGCATGCATGTGGGTAGGCGGTGAAATGAATGCAACCTGTGGTTTAATACCATCAACTGATAAACGATTCGGATATCTTGAACCACAAGAATGGCGTCGAATGCTTTTTGTAAGCTCTTATCAATTAAATGGAGAAAATAATTATACAAATAACTTCTCTATATCCATTTTTTCAAAAATTGTCTTTTCAGATATTTTATTTTTCTTTTCAAAATCAGTGCACTGTTACATATTTTTCATTTTTTTTGTCAGGCCAAAAAAAAAGCGAAATTTAAATTCCTTGCCTTTCTGCTTTCCAAAACTCGCTTACATAAATAATAGCATATTTCCATGATTTAATGATAAACTGTCGTTGTTTTCCGAATTTTCTTTGCTACATATTGACCTCATGTCCTTTTTGTCCTTTTTTAAATTTATTTTTCTTTTTGTGCACTTATTTTCTTCTGCTGTAACTATCATTATTGTTTATCTTTTTAATCAGTCCTTCTCATCAGAAAAAAAAATTTTTCTCCTCCCTTGCAAGAATCATAAATCGTTTTGATGACGCAATGGCGCAATAGCACTTAAAATTTTCAGTTATTTCAATTTCCAGCAAAAAAAATAAAAAGAAAAAAGTGAATTGACAGAATTTGCAGAAAAGTGGTTGCAGAGCGGAACGGAGATTTTTGATAGTGTTGATAATTTCATGATAACAGAAATGATATGTGATTACCACTAAATTCATGATTATAATAGAATTAACGGCTAAAAATGTTTTATTGATTTTATCTCCGTAATTTTTTTATCTCGTAAATGCAATACTATAACTGCACGTTTCATTATTTAATTTTTACGGACAATGAATTGTATTCTGATTAGTACACAAACTTTATGCTATGACACATAAAAGAAAAAAGACCTTTGAATTGCGACAATTCTGGAAGTGACAGGATAATAACGTTCTACCGAAATTTTGCAAAACGTCATAGTTTGAAATTTTACATTTCACAAAAATTTCTGCACAAGTATTTCATAAATTCTTCCGTTTTCCATCTTTTTGTCATCATCTCTGGATAACATTCGATCAAATCTATAAGCAATTTTTTTTTCTCTTTTGCTATTCCACAGTTCAGAAATTCAACATTTGTCTTCCTGTACTTTCATCGTCTTATCTTCATAATTGTCACCGTTTCTTCAAATTGTTGAAATGACAACTAAATTAAATTATTTTTGGAAGTATGTAATTTGATGTTTGTCTTTAAAAGAAAGTAGTTAAATTTAACATAGAGGTAGGGAGGTATTGTTTTTCTTTTCAGGTAAGCAAAAAATGATGTATCGTAAGTGTTACTCAGATACGATTTAACGAAACTGGTAATGAGAAACTAAACTACGAATTGAACAACTAAATTAGCACATTATCATTTATCTGATACAAAAGTACTTTTTAACAAAGAAAAAAAAATAGACTAGTTTCTGAGCGAATGGAAGAACATATTTGACGCTGTGACATATTTGAACAAGAACAATATCTACTTCATTTTTAACTTAATTACTTTTTTGTTGCAGATACTGCGTAGAAGTATCGGATGTTCGGATGACGAAATACGTGAAATCAGAAAAGTTGGTACTCTTTTTTTGCAAAAAATTCACTATCATAAATTCTGATTTATATCCATTTTTTTTTTTTGATATCGACAAGTGCAATATCAGTTTAGTACAGTAACTTCCATATATCCTTCATTCATTTCAATTCTTTAGAGAGGATTTGACTATGTAATTAATTTAAGGCAATAAACAATTTATTTTTTGATTGATGATTTATTTCTGATTTATTTTTCCTCTGATTTATTGATTTTTTTCTCCTTTGCTTTTCTTCACCTTCTTCAAAATTTGTTCAAATTTTGATTTACGGATTAACAATTTACTAGCAAAAATATTGTCAGGTCGATATTCGTGCAATATGACAAATTGTATGACGTTTGAACCTGTTGAACATGATACCGTACCGTACCCTAGGAATGTTCTAAACTTTATTTCCTGTCATTAATGCAATCCTTATCAGATGCGACATCTTAGACTTAACAAATTTTCTTGTCTTCATTCAAATCTGACACATATTTCATCTGATATAAGCTAATCAAGATAAGATATAAATCCAAAATTTGCATTTATACATTGTGAGCTTTTAGTTTTGTTAAAAATTTACAAATTTCTTGTCAATCCTTCCTTATCTTGATACTCTACAACTTCACTAAATTTGTCAAATTTCTTATCATTCCTTCTCTTCCTTGATACTCTACAACTTCTTTAAATTTGTCAAATTTCTTATCATTCCTTCTCTTCCTTGATACTCTACAACTTCACTAAATTTGTCAAATTTCTTATCATTCCTTCTCTTCCTTGATACTCTACAACTTCTTTAAATTT